AGGAACCAATCAGAAGTTAGCTGGTAGTGCTTTGCTTTATGGCTCTGGGTGTGCTTTACGGATAAGTGCACAGCAATGATGTGCAGAGCATAGCAACCATCCTGGGAGGGCTTATGGGCCAGAACAACCAGTTGACCAATCAACACAGGGCAAGTCCTCCAAACCTGGAGGCACACCAATCCTGAGCCTGTGCATACCCCTAGACACTCCCCTTACCCTGCCCTATAAGATCTCTATCCTGTGGCTTCTCAGCGTTTTTCCCAGCCATCCGCCATGGTGGATGGATGAAATGCCCCAGCTAACATGGGGTTAGCTTGTTAAAAAACTGCAATAAAGCCTCTTGCTGTTTGCATCAAGTTTTCACCTCTGCCTGGTGATTGGGCTCCCAGAAGTCCTGGGCAGAGATCCTAGGGGCCTGAGCCTCCGGGGGTCTTTCAGTACAAGCATGAGGAAATTCCTCTGATCCTTAGTATCCATGGAAAATAGTGAGTGTTGTGACACCAGTTTTCATCCCACCACTGGGTAAATGGAGGATCCCTGGAGTTCACAGGGTTGGCATAATTGATGAGCTGCAGGTCCTAATGAGAGGTTGCTGAGCTTCAGGTCCAAGTGAGAGGTTTAGTTTCAAAAAACAAGGTAGAGGGCTGCTGAATGTCCAGCCCATAAAGATGGCTGCTCTCTTATCTTGCCTCAAAGTCAGAGAGTTCAAAACAGTCCTTAATAAGTCAAAAGACCTAAAGGTCTAAGGCTTGGCTACTTTAGGATGTTTCTCCCTTTGTAGTGGATGTCTTATCTAAATAACAATAGACTTGGGCTTAGGTTTGTTTATTCTTGAGCCTGAAGGTCAGACAACAGGTGTGCTTACCAAATGCTTGGAGGATTAAGGGAAGTAAGTCTGTTTGCTACTTAAAACTTTTCCCCCCCCCCCCCCCCCCCCCCCCCGCCATTTTGATTGGGATACTTTAGAATGTTGAATAAACAAGAAATGTTCAGTATTTACTGGATTGCCCTCTTGACTATCCTGTGTTTCTGTCTTCTTCTTTGTGTCTTTACCTGCATTTCTCAATAACACACACCCCCTCTCAGATATGAACCAGGCAAGTTGGCTGGCTCCTACAGAGGCCCCACAAACACAGGCTCCCGCATACGAGGAATGGCACTATAGGTTAACCTCTTGCCACCGAATGAACACACACAGAATCACACACACACACACACACACATACACACACACACACACACACACACACACACACACACACAAAATTAAGAGTTATGGATTTAGAATGGTAAGTTTTAACAAACATATACAAATGCTTCTAAAGGAAAATGTAGACAGGATTGACAAGAAAATAGTATTTCAAGAACAATGCCATAACTTTTACTTGAATAGTATGAAGGCAAATCACAAAAAGGATAGCAGCTCTTGAAAAGAGAAAAAAAGCACACAAATCCACATGTAGATGTATTGTAGAAACTCAAATAGAATATATTAAAGATATCACAACATATAATGAGAAAGGTCAACTATTAGCTACGAAGAATCAGTTTGTTCTGAAGGAACCAGCTCCCCATTTCGGCAGCCATGACAGTAACACATGCTCACCATGCCCTTGTCCTAGTCACTGGAAGTCAGATGCCTGCCTTGTGGCAAGGAACCAATCAGAAGTTAGACGGTGGCACTATGCTTTACGGCTCTGGGTGTGCTTTACGGACAAGTGCACAACAATGACTCGAGAGCATAGCAACCACGCTGGGAGGGCCTATGGGCCATAACAATCAGTTGGCCAATCAACACAGGCCAAGCCCTCCAAGCCTGGAGGCACACCAATCCTGAGCCTGTGTGTACCCCTAGACACTCCCCTTACGCTGCCCTACAAGATCTCTCTGCAGTCCCTTCCAGCTGTCTTTGCTAGCGGTCCACCATGGCGGGTGGGTAAAAGACCTGAGCTAACATGGAGTTAGCTCGTTAAACAACAATAAAGCCGCATGCAGTTTGCACCAAGCTTTCGAATCCACCTGGTGATTGGGGTGACCTTGGTCCTGGGCTGGGACCCTGGAGGGCTGAGTTTTCCGGGTGGTCTAACAGTTCCATGGACAAGAGTTTCCTTTGCAACATTAGTGCCAGGAAGGGGAAAAAAATGAACACTGAAATGTAAAACAAAACAAAACAAAACAAAAAACCCCAATGGAATTATCAGATATGCAAAGACTCAGAATTTTACATTCTCCATGAAAGAACTTCCAGAGAATATTCTTCAGCAAACAGAAAATGGAACTCTGAAGGAAGGGGTCGAAAAACTAAGTAGTAAAAACAGTAGTAAAAAAACTAAGAACATGTATTGGTATGTTTAATCAACACCAACTGCTTGCATGGCCAATTTCTAAGAATGACTAAAAGGCAAATAAAAGTAAACAAAGATGTAGAAAGAAGCCAGCAGATACTCTGAAGCACCTGAAGGAATCCCATCCCAGTCAATCCTGGGTTGATTTCCTGGACAACAGATGCCAAAGGACCTCCATTCTCAGTTTCCTTCTGTAGATGATACATACAAGTCAAAGTGTTCCGTAATTGTTGTTTTTAATCTGTCATTACATTATATTTTCTGTCTGTTAATAATTTTTTTTTTGCAGAAATAGCCACCTCTTTCCTTTCTGATGGTTTGGTCTTGCTTTATTAGACGGACTTACCAAGAAAAACACACCACTTTCTTGTTTCCTTAAAATATTTTAAAGAAATATCTACTTCTAAGAAAGAAATCAGTCACAACTGAAGACATTAGAATTTTCATAAACAATGACATAAAATTCAACTCACACAGTTTTCAGGGACATATGCAAGTATTTTCTGTAAATATTTTTGAGACTATTGGCACTGACTGTTACACTTGTGATATCTGCTTACTAATATCAAACTGTAGAATTTTCCTGAAACTGTGCTTGTATTTGTGCTCAATTTGAGCTGTGAAGGTAACAATGCCTTTTCTAGAGGCAATTAGCAAGGCTCTAGGAAATTAAAATCTGTTTGTTGTATGTTTTCACAGTGTATAACATGTCTGCCATCATTGCCTTGACTGATGCCAGCTTGAGTGATAACGCTGTCACTATGGCTTTGTACTCTGTACTCAGTCCGCTACCCCACCCTCCTGACATTCCTTAGCCGATGTGTTACATAAGATGCCTTTTCCAAGCAATTAACACTGGGGGCCATAAATTTCACCTATGCATGTGAGCCATCATAACAAAACACCATTTCCTAATATTTAAATTCCTTTAGAGGAGCTAATTAGTGGGAGTTTTCAGAAAGTCTTTGAGATGCTGGTGTGGAACAGTGATGATGCTGTCCTTTCTTTTTCTATGAGCAGCGGGTGTAAGGTTACTCACTTTCACTTTGGACCTGGTCTTCATATCATCTGGCTCTTTGAAATACATATAATTAATGTGTATCTGCTGGGATGGCCAATTCAGCAAATCTAATTTGGGAGTTTCCATATTTATTCATTTTCCTGTTCATAATGTTGAATGGTGTGCCGTTTTCACCATGTTATTACTCACCAAAATAAAATGCCAGACTTGTGAAATATAAAATTACTTCATTTCAGCTTCCATTTAATTTTCCTTGAGCTCGAGAAGAGCTTAATAAAGTTTTAGCATAAATATCCTATATCATGTGGCACATGGTGCTTAACTATCTCGATATTCCGTTAGAAGTAACATTTTACTTGGTATCTAGGACCAATCCATAATATAATATTTTTCATCTAATTGGCTCACTACAGTCAATTAAATGGAATGTTCCGTACAGAGAAATCTGTAACAATCTAATTGTGGTAGCGCCCATCATTAAAACCCTCGGGAGTGGCAGGCACAGCCACACAGTTTAAGTTGGAACACTCAACGTTCCCTCAGAGATCTAATTTTTAGTGAGTGTTTTTTTTTTTTTCTTTCTTTTAAAATAATAAGAGCAGGGCAGTAACAGAATTTTGACTATGCTGTCATTTTGACGTTGGAAGTGAGCAATCTATCAGATTTCCTTTTCAGCTAATTGGAAAAGAGGAGGAATATAGAATTAGGAGTTTCACTCTACTCGGAAAGTAGAGGCAAATTAAGATGTTAGATGTAATTAAATTATAGAGTTTGAGGAACTTGAGAGGTCATCTATCCAGTCAAATTGCTTTCATCTGAGAAGTTACAAACTTAAATCATGCTCCTATCATTATTCGAACTCCTTTAAAGACATCGTCAATTAGCTTAGCAACTCAAAGCAATGCTGAGCCATCCTTCTATCTGACTAGCCACAAATACAGTGCTCTCTTATCAACTTGCATGTAGTGAGCAAAGAAAATCTGTTCTTCTCCTAATGTAATTTTCTACATTTCAGTCCTGCCACTTTTAAGATTTTTGCATTTTAGGTTGAAACCTTCAGACACAGTGGCACTTACCGACAGAAGAGAATCACACAGGTGTTTGAGGAAGGTCTGAGCCTCATTACTAGTTCAAAGACAGCTCGAGCTACATAGCAGCACTTTGATGCTAAGAACCAAGGAAATCTAGGCTGTTTGTCTGATATGAGCAAAACTCCCAGGTCAGTCCCCAGAACTGCAAAGTTAATGCACCATTTGCATTCTGAAGCCTGTGCTGGCCTAAAGGTGCTGCTGGAGGTGATTAGGAGGAGGTTACACTAAAGCCTCCCTCCTCCTTCCTTCTCTCTCTTGCTACTGCTGTGTGTGTGTGTGTGTGTGTGTGTGTGTGTGTGTGTGTGTGTGTGTGTGTGTGTGCGCGCGCGCGCTTGCATGCATGTGTGAGGATGTGCTTGTATTTGAGCTATAAAGATCTGCAACCATCTTCTCATCTTCCCTTTCTACATATTGTTTACAATTAATTCCTCATTTGTTGTCCTTAGCTTATTAAGATTTCATTTTACCTGGGAAATGACTTTCATTAAAGTTAATTGTGACATATAAAGAGTTGTACGGATTTATTGGGAGAATTTTACTCACCCTAGATGTGAAGGTGGCATCATTGATGGAGTGCATGTGACCATACAGAGAATGCTCACATTTACCCTAGGAGAGAAAGCAGAGATGGTTTTATTTAAGTAATGTTTAGTTCATTATACAAAGATGCATTCTCATGATGGAGAATAAAATAATAGATGTTCCATCAGTTACTATTCAGAACCATGGAGACAGGGCTTACTTGAGGTTTCACATTGTGGCTCTTTGCACAGGACGTCTACCTTTCCTGTTTTGGACCATGGGACTGGAAGGGAACTCTACCTGTTGCTCCAATGGTAATCTGTTTAACAGTATAGAATCTCTACCATCACTGAGGCTGGGGATATGGATCTATGTTTTTTTCTTTTAAAATTATAAGGCCAGAATGAAACCACATTTCAAAACTCAGTTTTAATATTATCATTATTACATGAATTAAATGCTATAGAACATGTGTGATGGTATTTTACACAATAAGAACTTATTTATTTTGTGACAGACAGGCACAGGCAGATATCTATCTACTCACTATACCTCTTCTAAAATGTAGCTAAAAAATTGAAAACCTCAAAGCTTCAGTTTAAATGTTTTTAGGAGAGATGGGCCCATACATATCGCAGTGAAGAAGTCAGATGTGGGGCCTTTCATATTGAAACTGATGTTCAAAGAGGGCCCTGACTCTATTTGAAAAACAACATCTTTAGACGCAGGGAAGATTACAACTGCACTATCATTTGGAGATTCTTGTTGATTTCATTGGATAATTTATTGAACAATCAGTTTCTGAATAATCAATATTGCTTAGCATATTTCTGTGTGCCTGCTACCCATGTTACAAAATGAATCACACTTTCATGCCCCTGGACCATAAGTGAGAGGAGACAGCTATTTTATTTAAAAGGTAGAGAGTGTGTCAGCATGATGATAAGAAAACATCCAACCAGGTAAAAGGTAGCATGAGTTTGGGACTGAGACATCTTGGGACTAAGAAAATGACAGCAATGGGTGACACTTTAGCATCCAGAAGTGGAGACAGGGTCTCAGAATTCAGATAGCTCCATTTTCCTATTTTCCCTTCTTTCCTCCTCCAAGCACAGGAGGGACCCTCTTTGAAGCTCCTTTGTCTGACAGAAGAAGGTCTTCCAAAATAATTCCATCATCCTTAGACCTTCCCCACATCTCGTTATCCAAGGAAGCCAGAATGACAGGAAGGAAGGAAGGAAGGAAGGAAGGAAGGAAGGAAGGAAGGAAGATGATATCATATCAAAGAAGCGCCTCTTATATGCTCATTTCTACTTTCCAGCTCCAGAATGACTTGTCAACTACTGTCTCTCCCCTGGCCCCAGTCAATTTCCCTAAAAGCATTGCTAGTCTTCAAAAATGGCTCCAGCCCCTACTTTCTTCTTTTCTACAAAGAAGGTATTTAACCCCAGCCAGCTGTCCCTTCTTTGAGCTTCCTGCACAAACGGACAGGTTAATAACTTTGCATATGTTTTCTCCTGTTAAAATGTCTGTATTGGTTTAGTTTAGCAAAACTTCAGTGGACACAAGGGAAGTTTTCCTTATTGCTATAAGGACCTACTAGCAAATGTGATTAAACAGAGTGACCCCTTTGGCCTTACATAAGAGTAAAGTTAAACAAAGCCTGAAAGTTAGTTGGGGAGTCAGAGCTGACTTCTCCTTTGGCCAATGCTCCTCATAAAATGAAAAGCCAGAGGAAAAATTCCCAGGTGTGGAGACTACAGGCATGTTTCTGGAAGAGCAAGGAAGGTCAGGATAGTCGGCTGAGCACTGATAAGTGGGGGCAGTAGGTCTATTGTCATTCACTACATTGAAGTCTTAAAAGACTGAAGAGGGAGAAAAGCTACAAAATAAGATAAAAAGCAGATTCTCCAGTGTTCCTTCAATATTATTGGCCATTTTTGGTACTTTCCTAAACTAGGCAATCTTGGAAGTCCTTTGTCACTAGGCTGCATTTAGGATTCACGGTTGCCATTGTGTTCAACATTTTAAATTCCCAGTGTCTCTTTATAGAAACAATGCACGCTACTAATCTATGTTCACAGGATTTAGAATTTCTTCCCATAAATTTGGAGTTCATAAAAAAGCGAAGAGAAGCAAGTTCACAGTCTCCGAGGGTCTGCCCCCCTCCTCCTGTCATTCTGATCCAGTTTCTTGATGCTGTTGCCCTTTAAACCAATTATGCCAGGGACCAAAAATCATTTTAGTTCCCAAAGTAGAAGTAAGTTACTCACAAAACCAAACACGTTGAGTGTGAGATGTTTTAATCACTACTATGCTTATTTATAGACTTTTCAACTCCATTTTCTTTGAGAATGACTATAGGATGATATAATATTATACTTGCACAATGAATGTTAAACATTTTTACAAAGTTTTAAGTTGTAAGATTTACCTTTAAACACTTTTCTGCACAGATAAAGTTTTGCATTTTGTCTGCTTCCAACTTGAGAACCTCTAAATTATTTGATTAATTGGTAGGGAAATGTAGTTTCTGGATACAAATCCTGAGTGCCAAGTTTTAATTCAAAGGAGAGTCTCTGAGGCTTCTTGAACACCCCTGGAAGTACCAGTATAATGGAAATGCTGACTGACCACGTTTGTGCTGTTATAACAAAAGCTGACTCGAAGATAAATGTTCCATGAATTAAGAAAAGTTTAAATTTTTTTCTATTGAGCTTTGTTCCCAAGATAAAAGTGAATCTACACTTTTTGAGGTAGAAAGAATATGTGGGTTACTAATAATGTAGTCTACAAACAGCCCTAATCAAAAGAAATATCCAAAATGGTACATTGAGATGTGGAGTAATTTCTCTGTTAAATTCTCATCAAAATTGTTTTTTGTTCAAAGGAAATGAAGAAGAGGAAGACTTTGTAAAACTATCACATGACCTATGCACACCGTTGGGCCTTTAAGTCTCACATAAAGAAGCTATATGGTGGGTGGTTTCTGTCAGCACCCCTGAATTTAGGGATGCCTGGTCTGTGGCTTTTGGATCTGGATCACAATAGCTGTCTGGCCTTAAACAAATAGCTTTACTTCACTTGGCCTGAGTGCAATGAAGTAAGAGTATTTAACATTTAGTCCTGTTGGTAGGGATGAGCTAAGATGAACTGAAATGCAGCATGCTTCCTGTCACAAAGAGCTTAACAAGTATTTGCACTTGGGATGGAGAGATGGCTCAGAGGGCCAGAGCACTTCCTACTTCTGCAGAGGACCTGAATTTGATTCCCAGCACCTATACTGGGAGGTTCACAATTGCTTGGAACTCCAATCCCAGGGATCTAATGCCCTCTTATGGCTTCCAAAGCACCTGTACTTATGTGGTCCACATATAGAAATTATGTGGCTTAATTATCAGGCAATTATATGCTGTCTTAGTTAGGGTTTCTGTTGCTATGATAAAACCATGATCAGAAGCAACTTGTGGAGGAAATGATTATTTCTGCTTACAACTACCAGGTGACATCCATCACCGAGGAAAGCCGGAGGAGGAACTCTAGGCAGAAACCCAAAGGCAGGAACTGTTATGAAGGAGTGCTGTTTACTTAGCTTGCTCTTCATGGTTTCCCAGTCTGCCTTCTTATACCACTCAGGCTCATCAGCCCTAGGGTGGCTCAGCCATATCAGTCATTGGTGGAGAAAATGCCACCCACGGTTGCCTACAATCCAATCTAATGGAGGCATGCTTTCAACTGGGAGTCCTAATTCCAGTTATGCCTATCTTGAGTCAAGATGAAAGAAACAAACAGAACATGTGCATGCCAGATATATATGACTACTGAAAAACCAATGGCTTCCAGAGGGACGTGCCTTCAGGATTCAGACAGCAACAGAAGTGTGAGATGGATAAATGACCACTTCTATTCCCTTCAGCTCAGCTACTATTCTGCAAGTGGTCCAAACTCCATCTTTCTGCTGTATCTTTTCCTGTGGCTAAAGCACACACTGAATCACTAGGGATAGTGATGGTTTCTCATCATTGAGTATTCAGAACCCTGTTCACTTCTCTTCATGACATCTGTTACCACTGAGGACCAAGCTGGTAGAGCATGTCAGATGTAATATGCAAAAGGAGGCTCTCTGTATACTGGTTCTCTCACCCTCAGCAATTCATTCCTTCATAATGGATACATGTGGCATCACCAAATTGCACCACAAAAGAAGATAACCACAAGCCTGCGGATGTGACAGTCTTCCCTCACCGTCATCTCCACCTGCTGTGCGGTACCCTCTCACCATTCCCCTTCCACTCCGTCCCTCTCCACCACAGCTGCCCTGGTGGGGGACAGCATCCTATAAGTTTCCTCATTAGTCCCTTTTCTCACTCTTATCCAACATGCCACTCCTTCTTCTCACAAGCAGTGTGGAATCAAGAAAGCCTGGATCATATGACCCAATTCTCCTACGTCTAGTCACCCTAACAATTACAGTGACATAAAAACAAATTCCAAGCTCTTTCCTAACATCTGAATTATCCAGTCACTGGCTCCCAACTTTCCAATCTGGTCACCTACTTTACCATGCTTCTTTTCCATTAGCTTTGCTCCTTCAATATTTTATACATGTCATTAACTGAGTTTTCCAAGCTCAGCACTGACACATCAGGTTAAATAGTGATTGAATAGTAACACTGGTGAGGCCTCTGGAGAGACTTACAGGCGTCTCAAGCTTGTATCCAGAATTCATAAGCCCAGAGGCCTTCCCCTCCTCTGCTGGAGTCAGTTTGCATATCAGAGCAAATCTTTCTTTAGTGTGGCCTGTCACCTCTCTGGTCTTGTTATATATATACCCCACATCTCTCTCTCTTTCCTCTCTCTCTTCTGTTTCTCAATCTACCTCCATCCCACCCCTCCCCCTCTCAATCTCCCTCTTCTTCCAACTCTCTTCTCCTTTCTCATCCTCCATTGCCCCTCTTCCCCTCTCCCTCTATCTCTCTTTCCCTTTCTCTTTTGCTTTCTTGTCTATCGCCTTGTAAAAAAGAGTCCCATGAATACACTGGCCAATTAGTGATGCTATTATCCTATTATTTTTGATGTGCATGTATCACCTGAAGTCTCTTCCTCTTCATGCAAAAACAAAACAAACCAAAACAACAACAAAAACAAAATAGCCCTATGATGTCTGGGTTACACCACTATGACCTCAAGAACTCCTCACTGGCCCAACATATGGATGGGGAGGGCAAAAATATTCAATTCATAAAACTTTGCAAACAAGATAACAGACATTCACTTTTGTGGGCTAAAAAATACACTGAAAAAGAAGAAAGCACAGACGCCAGGTAGTGTGTGTTGCCTGTCCCAGTGCGCACAGGGCTGATGTGGAATAACTTTGGCCCAGGAGTCTGAGGAGACTAAATCTAGACAACAGAATAAGATCCCGAGCAAAGGAAAGGAGACAGAAAGAATCTGATGAAACTATTCACACAGGAGAAAGCTCATTGGCTATTGGCAGAGATGGTTATGACCACTGTGAACGATGAGCAGTTGTTTGCCTGCAAGCTCTACATCTAATCCCAACTGAGTAGTGTCATAAAAATATGAAACTGTCATATTGTCTTTGCTGATTTTTTATAGTTCTAGTATGTTCCAGTATTCACCACTCCTCTGCTTCCAGTTTTCTCATCTAAACATGTATGTATCTTCATCTTTATTCTACTTTCAACTCAAACTTTATTCCAAACTTTATTTCAACTCAAACTTCTCTTTACCCCACTTTCAACTTAGTGGTGATTCAGATCACTATTCTTGACCTCTGTCTTACAGACTCCCCTCACATTAGCAGGAAACTTTTCATGAAATTTATCTCTTCCCCTTAGGCACAGCATCAAGGTCAAGCATGTCCATGAGACTAAGTTATTCCTTGACCATTGCAAAATAAGTCCCAAGTATACCACATAATCCTTTAACCAGTTTCTCCATTTATAGGTTGAAGATTGAGGCAGTGGATGACAGGGGAACATAAAACAAAAAGAGTCTGCATTTCTGACCAACCACAAGAGACAAACCATCAACTTCCTTTTGGACAGTTGATGAATGAGAAGCAAGTTTCTACTGTGTCAAGTCCTGAAAGTTCAAGACGCAACTACTCTCACTGTTCTCATCAGTGCAACAGGTGTGCAACAAGCAGATCACCTTCCTGTAACTATTAATTACAATGACTCATAGACTCAGTTAATTCCAGCTGTCACTAAATTCCCACAAGAGAAACATACCTTCTCTACTGTTGTACTCTTCCCAAGGCGTAAGACAATTTTTGTAGAATTTGATAATCAGGAGCTCAGTCAAAAGTAAGCAATTGGCCTAGAGATCACAAATGAAAATGCAAAAAGAGCAACAAAAACAAAACATCCTCCTGGTTATTTGCTTTCCATAGCATCAGTCATGACATTGGATGAATGCAAAGCCTGATTCCTCCAGCTTTACACAAGATGGTTAAAGCCCAAGAGTATGTTCATACCTGGATGCTGTCATCCCCTCTTAACACTCAAAACAGGGCAGCGATGACTGCCATTGGAAGAGAAGCTATATGTAGGTTTACTATTTATTATGACTCCCAAGTATTGTGCTAAGAGCACAACTCTGTGAGATGGGTGATAATTAGAGGTCTCACTTGAGAGACAAGCAAACATGTACTGAACCCCATGCCAGCACATTAAAGAGAGCCAGAAGTAAGGCTCTTTTTTGTCTAATTCCAAAGTCACATAATGCCTTTGTGTGCAAGAAGGTGAAATGACTGATGAGTAGTTAACAGGAGACCCAGACTTCTCTTCTCCCATTATTGCCTTCCTAGCCTTTGGTCATGGGAGCAATACCCTCTGTCCCATGTTACTTTCTGTTCAGCAGGCATCTGCAGCACACGCGATCATGTGTGAGGTTCTCTTAGGTCTTGATGTGAGTGAGAGATATAAGCAGAGGTGCCCCACCTCCCAACTATGAAGAACATAGAACGGAAGCAGGACACAGAAATCATGATGTTCAGAGCTAGTTGCAACAAAGCTTCCCTTACCTGACAATAACTGTGTATTAAGCTGGTCTCTTTAAAATATTAAAAAGCCTTGCTACTGTTAATAGTGCCATATGAAAACTTTACAAGACTGCAAAAATAGCTCATTAAAGGTCTAATGTGACATAAAAAAACAAGTTAAAATGAGGGGCTTGGGATGCAGGGTACTTGGTACAGAGCTTACTTGGCATGTACAAAGATCTAGAGTGTATCACCAGCACCACAGGAAACTGGATGCTGTTGCTCAAACCTGTGACCTCAGCACTTCGGGACTGGGTGGTGGTGGTAAGACAAGGCTCAGAAGTTCAAGGTCATCTTCAGGTACAGAGGGAGGAGGAGGCCTACCTGGATTACCTGAGTCCCTGTCTCATAACAAACAAAGAAAATAACAAACAAACCCAAACTTAGGAACATTAAAAAAATAGGCCTATGATAAAATCACTTATAATATCACCAAAATTATCATAGAGCTAAGGGGTGACATATTTCCTTTTATAGTATAATGGTTCTTATTTAGACAGGAAATCTGACAGCATTTTGGAAAAAATTAAGACTTTAACATAAAATAAATTTATTTTACCTAACTCCAAAGGCTCTATATTATTAAACAGTTTTATTTTTAATTAGGTTTATATATGCATCTACATACCTGAAGATGACATTGTATTTCCTTGAACAGGAGTTACAGGCAGGAGTGTTGGAAACTGAATGTGTGTCCTGTGGAAGAGTAGGTTGCACTACTAACTGCAGAGACATCTCTGTGCAAGAGTAGTTTGCAGAGACATCTCTCAAGCTCCCATGTTTTCTAATGGGATGTAAAACACATAGAGTGAAATGTGTAAATCTTTGAAATCTTTACAATTGTGTGTGTGTGTGTGTGTGTGTGTGTGAGAGAGAGAGAGAGAGAGAGAGAGAGAGAGAGAGAGAGAGAGAGGAGAGATGGGGGAGGGAGGGAGGGAGGGAGGGAGAGAGAGAAGAAAGAGAGAGAGAGAGAGAGAGAGAGAGAGAGAGAGAGAGAGGGAGAGAGC